AAATTCAAAATACACATAAATATACATAAATGTACATAAATGGGCATATGGCATCTACACAGCCAATGAGTGTCCCTCCCTCTGTTGTCATTCTGAGGTCATTTTTAACCAACACAGACAAATAAACCTGCTGATTTTAAACTGTTTCAAGCTTCCCGAAAACTTCAAACTGTCCAAAAACGTCAGTTCAACCGGGGTCAAACGAAGAAACTTCAGAAGAAAAGTTCAGAAAAACAAAAGCTGTTGTTAGCCCGATTCTTTAGCTGGAAACCTGAGAATAAACCAAACGTATAAAAATGACATTTATTGGGTCACAGGCAAAGTACAGAACTGTCTCAGAAAATTTGAATACTGTGATAAAGTTCTTTATTTTATATAGATAGGATATTTGGGTTTCTTAAGCTGTAAGCCATAATCAGCGATATTAAATCAATAAAAGGCTTGCGATATTTCAGTTGATTTGTGATGAATCCAGAATGTATGACATTTCATGATTTTTAATTGCATTACAGAAAATAAAGAACTTTATCACAGTATTCTAATTTTCTGAGACAGTCCTGTATATCACAGACAAAAACCTCTCTCTGGGTCTCAAAGAGCCCTGAGATCTGGGTGTGATGGGCAATATCTCCTCAAAGGAAGACTGGACATAACCAAGTCCTATTGGCTAGTTACCTCTGGGCATAAATAGGCCAGGTCCTAATTCATGCAGATAACACTGGAATGTGATAACAAATGGTTGTGTGTTTGTGTTGACCTAAAGGTGGATCTAATGCAACAGAGAGAGAAAAAGAGAGTCTGTGGACACAGACAGAGACTTTAAAACAAAATATAGTTATAAAAATCAGTAATTTACATAGATCATGTGATAGCATGCTATGCTAAAGTGAGTAATTATAGCCAGATTCTAACAGTGTGTTTTATTTCCTCACAAAAGTGCCTTTCAGGGGGTAGAAGAGGGTGTAAAAAAGGACTTTAACACAAAATATAGTTATAAAAATCAGTAATTTACATAGATCATGTGATAGCATGCTATGCTAAAGTGAGTAATTATAGCCAAATTCTAACAGTGTGTTTTAATTCCTCACAAAAGTGCCTTTCAGGGGGTAGAAGAGGGTGTAAAAAAGGAGGAAGAGAGCCTTAAAATGAAAACGGAGACATGTAATGTTTGTTTCAGTTCCCCCCCAAAGTGCAAACCTCTTCATTCTGGACTCAGAGCTGGTCAGCAGAGCTGTCCTCCCCGGGGGGGGGGGGGGGGGGGGGTTTGCTTATTTACTCGTCCTTGGGATTTTGCCCCCAGTGGTTATTTCAACACATAGACAAATCCCTTATGCAAATATAGACTTTTCAAAATGTTCTAACCCCCCCCATCTCTCTCTCTCTCTGTTTGTTTTATAGTCTCTCACTCCAGCCGGACCCCCCACCCCCACCACTCTCCTGCCCTCCGGCCGAAACTGACCAGTGGCCGGATCTCTGGAGCCGTTCAGACACAGCCGGACCCCCCCCGGCCGGACCCCCCCCCAGCCAAATAAATAAAGTCCTGCTCCACCCCCCAGACTGAGAACTGCTTTCTAAAGATTCCTGAACCCAGACTGGTTCCATAGAGGGGGGGGGGGGGGGG